TTCGTGGTGTATTCTTAGCGTCAACATACGTCTACGCGTTAAGTGAATCACAAACACTGAGACTTTCGATCAACATAGACAAAACTGCTTTATCATCTGTTTTTTGTAGACGACTGCTCAGAAAACATCGTCATTAATAAAAAATAGAGGGTCGATTCAGGGCCGAACAAGAAATTAAACACTAATTCAAGTAAAGTGTTGTAAAAGAAGAACAACCCGATGATTTCATTCATAAAGCAAAAGAGGAAGAAACGTCGAGTTCGAAATGGTTTACTCTTTCTTATGGGTCCCAACCATAGTATCATGATGCTGTGTTGAGTCGATTTATTATTCAATGTTACTGTCACTCTTTATTTTATGTTTACGGTGATCTTATTATATATTCTTCTCTCGCGTTCTCCGCTGTTCTTAGTGGGTAACTACCCAGTAAACACATCTATAACGCAAGAGGAAAATATCCTGTCAATCGATAATTCGATGGACAACGCTCGCGGTGATCAATTATTGGAAAAGATGATTAGAAAAATCTTATACAAATGTTTTTGTACAAAAAAATACAAATAGCTTGATCGTTTGGCGTCTATAAATACATGAATAATTTGACTATACACAAACATTAGACTCACTCGAAATGATGCAAGAGATAATAATAGCAGAGAGTGCCACTACTCCAGAACCAATGATGATCGAATAACGCGCTAAGTACCAAAGTATAGAAAAAACAAGTGAACCGAGAAAGACTTTGTATTGTGCGGTGTTGGATGCTACGTCTCTGTTTGTACTTTTATAGTCAAACTCAAGGTAAATCATGTAAATTTTCGACTTCGTTTTTCATACTTTGCCGTCTATGAGCGACATCGTTTCGAAAGTATGTGTATGTTTTGCAGCAACCTGTTCCTAATAGTATTCGGTCTTGGATACTCCTTTGGTCACCACTACTCATGGCAAGAGTATGAAGTTACGTTGTGAGTGAGTCATATGTATTGATTTGCCACTGTTACAACATAATCACTTCACTACAACACTGAATTGTTCAGTGCTATGGCAGCCTTTATTGAGTTACGACGGGATGCTGATGATATTCTATCTCAATTAGAACATCTTGCTAAGTATTAATGATCATTTCAAATGCTACATCCTGTAGAAAATTATCGTTTTTAATTTCAGAGAAGCAGAACGTGCTAGAGAAGATGAAAATAAAGCTTCTCTCAAAATTCAGTCAGTTTGGAGAGGTCATCGTGTTCGAAGTTATATTCGGTAAAGAAGAATAGATAATCTGAGTCAAAGTGTCTTATATTACTTATTATTTTAGTCTTCTAAATCGATATGCAACAGTTATTCAAGCCTTTTGGCGTGTATTCAAAGCAAAACGAATTTATAGACAAAAACTGAAAGTGAATGTTCTAAATAATGAAAGTGAATTATGAACTAATGACTAGTTCTCTTCTGTTTAGGAACATGTAATACACACGCGACTAAAATATTATGATGATAATGCAACCAAAGTAAGTTGCGGTTTAGTAATGAGTTAATAGTATGTGTTAGCCCCAGCAGTTTTAAAAACTCTCTCATTCACAATGGTACATCCGCACATGGTTTTCTTGGGAATGCGGCAGTTTTAATGGTTTTGACAGAATGATATCTTTGTTGAACAGAATGAAAACTTAAGAGCTTAAAACAGTATTTGCGTTAGATAGAACGCGTATAGTAACAAAATAAAGTGGTACCTTTTCAAGATCTTCATGCCAGGTCTGAAGATGTTTAGGTTCCTAATTAGCATTAAAAGCTGAATAAAACTACTCATATAGAACTCATTCACAAGGAAGCCATTTGCGAATGTCCTCTTGCCAGCACAAACGATGAGGATCTTTACTTTTAATTTATTTAAAGAGATTTATAAAAAGAGTAAAAACCACGAAAAATACTTTTCTCATACATGGTGAAATAGATAAATATACCTACATACAGAATAACAAGAACATTTGTATGATTGAAAAGTTCAAACAAAGCGTTTTGTATCCTCATTCTGATGTTATATGTGCTGTACGATGAGAATGATTAATTGTGTAGTTAGTGAATAGTTAACAGTGCGAAGAATCTTGTGATAAGTGTAATAAAAGACTCCTTTCTAGAGTGTGACTGCATCTTCTGCTTTTTCGATAGATTGTTACATAAGGTAATTAGTTTTGTTTTTAGATTCAAAAAGTTTGGCGTGGCTATTATGTTCGGAAGTACATTTCTGATTATTATAGTCGAAAGAAATATTTTAATGTATTAGAACAGAAAAATGAACAAGTTCGGTATGTACTACCATTAATTTTGATATTATATATTTCATAAAATTCTTATTTTCATTATAGACTTGAATTACATGAGTATCGTGAATATTTGGATCAGAAAGGATTGGAATTACGTCGAATGAAAAATATACAAAAATTAGAAGAAGAAGCAAAACGAACACATTATTTGATGAGTACAAAAACATGTTCTGGAGTTTATAATTCTAAATTTTTACAGTATGTTTGTCTTTTATACTCTATCGTTTATTATATGTCTTTTCATTTTAAGTGCACCAAAAGAAATGGAAATTATTTTAAGAAATATCAAGTATGATATACCAAAATTACGACAACGAAAAGAACAACAAACGGATGTACCTCCTAAACTTCTTCCACCATTAAATCCAAAACCACAAGTAATACTTTCGATTCTTATAGAAGATAAGTTTTCTTCAAACGATAGAGAGAGCTGGCGTTTGTTCATACTAGAACAAGTCCATATTTTTTTGAAGACAAAAAAATATTACTGTTTATTACTTGTAGGGTCCATTTCGAACAGCAGATGAAGTTCGTTATCAACGTTATCGTCCATTGAAACCATCGTTAAGATGTGAATCAGATTATTATTCAGTAGAAAAAATGCGTGAAGAATTAAAATTACAAGAATGGACAGAACGTGTTCATGATGAAACGTATGTTGATATGTCATAACGTAGATCTTTTATTATTATTATTCTATTTTTCTTACAGTTTTAAATCAAGTATTAATCGTGAAAAACCTTATCAACGACTAATGGCTGGAACGGACGTATTTAGTGAACAAAAACTATGTTTTCGTGGTGCAACCGATCGACAAAGATGGACTACAGAAAAAGTAATGAGACAAGTGGCGTTGTTTAAAATAGTGTGTTTATAAAATTATTATTTTTTCGTTTTTTAGGACTTTCGAACTTTAGTACATGGTATACCAGAATTTGACAAATTTCAAACAACTTATGTACAGCCACATTATTATTTTTAACCATTTTAATCCAGATAGTTTAATATTTTTTAGTTTTTTTTGTTCATTTTGAACTGATGTAATAAAAAAGATGAATAACTCACGTATTCTGAAAAAATTTCAATTTCAATTATGAACTGTGCGTTAGCTATCAGACAAGAACCCGTGAACTTTCAACTGTCTGGTGTTGAAAACTTTTTAGGGGTTTTTCGTATCGATCGCGACATTAAAATTCTCGAAATATTTTATCATTCCATAATAATCTGAGATTAAACACGATGAAAAATGTTTAAAATCAATAATTTCTTTCAAAAATCTGTTTTTTTCAACAATGAATAGAAATCAATGTTTTCTTTAAAGAAAGAAGCTAAGTCAAAAGTTTCTTCCACTCTTGTAGTTTTGTAAATCTGTTGTGGTCCACCACCACAGCCAGATAACATAATTAACATAATTTGTGTGATGACAGTTGTAAAACGCAAAGACATTTTAGACAAATAATACTTTTTTTTTTTCTCAAAATTATGCACGCATGACTAATAAAACACAAAAATAGATTGTCAGAAAAAAATAATTAAACAATGCAATATACAAAAAAAGAGTACAAAAAGCAGATCGTTCTTATGTTTAAAAAATCAAATGAGGAATTTTTGTTACGAAGAAGAAACAGAACAGTTTAGAAAAGCTAAAAAGGGCGATGAAATACGGAAATTGAAAAAAGCTAGTAGAAATTCTACAATCAGCAAATGAATTCAGTAGAACTGACAACCCTAACCACTGATCATCCAACTTTGAGCAAATCTTTTTCTCGTTACACCTTCGAGCTTTAGTTTTATTAAAAAGATACGCCTCAAAATTCTGTAGAAAAAACATATTAAATGAATGTTTTAATTCAAAAAAAATGATGAGGAGCCGATTTCAAGAAAGAATAGCTAGAGTCCAACTGTCTTACGGGAAGATTGAAAAGTTAGCTCAGTAAAACGGTAAACGGACGAAATTAGAACATCCACAAACTCATAAGAGTTTCACTATTTTTCAAGAAGAATTCCTATATTCCTGTATCAGATGATTCATTATCGTGCCATATATTCTACTATAGTATAGCTTTCATCATATCCATTACTGTAGCATATATTCACTATGAAATGAATCACGTGACAATTAATCTTAACTATAAATCTGAAAGTTTATATGTTTGTCCGTCACGCTAAAACCTCGCGAACCGCTTAACGTAGCGAAGTGAAATTTGCCTCAGTTGTAGCGCTGAAAATTTCTAGGTCAACGGTGCTAATTTGAGCTTTCTACGTTTTGTCTACGTTGAGCTTTCTACGTTCTAAACTTTGCAACGGAACCAGACTGACGGTGAAAGCTTTACACACATATGTCATCGAGGCAACAATTTTAACTGGACCGTTTGAGGGGGAACACGTTTTCATTCCAACAATTCCACTCATTCCAACCGATTTGCCATTTTCGTTTAAGCGATTGCAATTCCCTGTTCGACTGGCATTCGCAATCATCATCAACAAATCGCAGGGACAATCGGTGAAAGTTACTGGACTTGACTTGACGGATGAATGCTTTTCGCATGGACAACTGTATGTGGGAATGTCAAGAGCGAAGGACCCGACAAAGTTGTATATTGTCGCCAACGAAGATGGAGAAACAAGAAATGTTGTGTACAGTCAAGTGTTGAAATAATCACAATATGAATAAATTTGTGATGGTTGAATAAGTGAAATCTATATGACTGGGCATTTTTCATTATTCTACTAAGCATAAACTTTTTCAGATTAGGTATGATCAGGTATTGAAATAAATTTTTACATTTTGTAAAATCATAGCAACACAGACTTTGAAATTTGTTTTGTATTTCAAATTCTCTCTCGACTATTCCACGATCATTAGAAATAGAAGATGAAAGTCAATAAAAGATATTTCTTTTAATTAATTGTTTTAATTTCCCGAGCGAAGCCGAGTAGTAAGGCTAGTTATCTTATAGGAGAAACGATAGAGTTGTCTCAAAAATATACGCATTTTGTGACATTAATTATACGGTAACTACAGAAAATTATTAAGTCGACTGAGTGAAACTCAGGTGAAAGAGGGGAGTTTATTATTAAAATAATAAACTGACAATAGGCTGTTGACCGAGGTCTTGTGTCTTAAAAAATTTGTATACAAAGACAACAGCTTGTAATGAATGTTTTACTGTTTTTTTCTGTTCTTTTCAATTGTTACCCGATGATGAGCAGCATACTGTTAGAGGTAATTTAATTTCATGTTTGTATAGTATTGTTTCAGCAAATACTTGCATTACTCGTATATTTTCTTGAGTTATGCGCTGGTTTAAATAGTTTGTTGTTTGTCTTTTGCAATAATAAAAAATAGTTTCTTGTTGAAGTTGTTGGTGTACAATAACTACGAGTTCGTTGTTTTCAATTATACCATTATAAATTAAAGTTACTTGATATTTGTTTCTAATGGCCCGTAGCACTCCTCCACCTTTCTGATCACGATCTTGTCTGAAGATGTTGTAGTCAGTAAGTGAAAAAGATGTCATTATGTTATTTAGTTTTGTTTCATTTACAGAATAAACATCGACATCATTGTATGTTGTTGTTAATTCATCTTTGTATTTGTTTATTGAATTCACATTTATATAGTTGAATCGCATAAGTTAATTTAAATAAATATGTTTTACTTTGTTGTTGTTTTTTGCTTCAAACTAATTAACTAAATAATGATGTTGATGTATTATTTGTATTTTTGTTTATTATGTATCTATAGTTGTTGGTTGACGGTCCGATAATGAATCAGCAACATTAGAATTACCTCTTCTCATTTCCGAATGAAATATCAACGTCTGTGTTGTTTTATGTAGTTGTTATTGATTTTTCTTTGAATTTGATCTTTCTCTCGACCTTGTTATTGTATTATCTCTTGATGGGGAATTTTCCGACGGTGATTTTAGAGATTTGTTGAGCATCATGGCTGGTGTTAAATTGAGTATCATATTTTTGTTTGTGGATACTAATGCGGCTATTAAAGTAGCTAGATCAGGCTGAATTTGTGTTGTTATTGCTTGTGTTTGTCCTTGTATTGGTGACGGCATCGCCTCACCTCTGTGGCTGCTTAACAGATTCACTGGCAATGTAGATGGTAATAGCGGTGGTATTTGCTGTTAATGCATTATCATCGAAACAATTGATGTAGCCATCTGTTGCATAGCAGATAACAATGCACGAACAATTGTATACGTCATTTTTTCTATTAATCCTTCAATCATTTCATTATTATTACTATTGTGATGATTTCCACATTGGAATTCGGTAGCTGCCCAATGATTAGATTGTAAATAAGGAAAGTCATCACCATTCATATTAGGTTTTTGTTTATTGGTGTTGTATATTCTTCAATTGTATATTCATTCAAAAATTGTTTTTTTAATTTTCTCTTTATTTCTTAAATATTCTTTACATTGTTTTGATGTTGCCATATGTTGTTCATCACAATTTATGCATTTAACATCTGTACTTGTACAAATGTTTGCTGCATGTGAACCACTACATTTATTACATATTTCAACATTTTTGCAATATTTTGCTGGATGTCCAAATTTACAACATTTGTAGCACTGAACGGGTTGTGTATTTGGTTTAGCTGGTTCAGGATCATAATGCAAATTATCAATTTTTAACCCAGTTTTTAAAAATGTTTCACAGTTTAATTTATCAACAAAAATAACTTTTATTGTTTTTGTTGGACACAGACGTTGATAGATTATCTTTTTTAACATAAATATGTTCAGCACTGTCAAATTTAAAACCATTTATTGTTAATGCATGCTTGATTTCATCAACTGAAAAATCTTGGTCAACATGGTCTATAAAGGCAACTTTTTCTGTATCCAACACTGATTTGATGTTACTTGGAACATAGACTTTAATACCATGCTTTTTACTTCGAAATGAATCCGTCGGAAAAGATCTTAATAGTTGATTATATGTTTTTTGTATCTGATGGTTGAATAGTAAATAAATTGTGTTTATTTTTGAATATGTTCTTGATTTTTGCATCAGGCATTTTAATTTTCAGGATTTTATTTAATAGTATTTTATTTACATTTGGAATGCCTTTAACGATAACTGATGCTATTTTGAATTCTTTTTTTGGGGTTGTTGCTTGTTGTTTCTGCTGCCTCTGGCCTTCTGAAGCTTCGGAGTGCCCCCTTTTCCTGTTTGGCGTTTCCTCCTCATTTCAATGTTTTCCAATTTATTTTATTTTTTTTTAATCTTAATTAGCGAACTAAACTGAAACTATGAAACTCAGGAGACTTATTGCTTTTCACTCTGAGCGTTGCCTAGCAAAATTCTTCTTTCTTTAAGCCGACCGAGTGAAACTGGGAGAGACTTATTCTGTTTCAATTCTTTCTTTCTTCTTTCTTCTTTCTGCTAGACCCTACTTTCTGCTGCGAGTCAGCCACTCGTTCTCAGCTATCACTAATCGTACAGATTTCGGAAAAAGATCATTCGAGAGTGCAAGCGAGGTAGATGAAATATCTAAAGTTATTTTTTCCATACATGTTTTAATTGTTAAGTAATCAGTCTCAAAAGTTGAGCGTATTTTCAATAACTTTTCTATGAGATAATTAATTGTCACGTGACACTTTATATACATCTAGTATGAATAGTGTAGAGTGATTCACTAAGTAGTCACGTGCTACTTATCAGTCTATACTTCTGCATAGTTTGATGCATTCATAGTCTGAATCATTACTACCGATAGAATGCGTCATATGTTTACTACTAGAGCATCGCAGCGTTCTAATCGTATTTAAGAGATTCAAACGGTGTCTATAGTGTTGCTAAGATACGTTTCACTCGGTCGGGTTTCCAGTGCTGGGCGAGCCAAGCTATTTTTCGAGTCGAGTCAATATTATTTTTTTCCGAGTACTATTTATTTTTATAGAGAACGTTAAGTACAACTTTTCGATATTCGTTATCTATTTCTTAATTTTATATATATATGTTACAGGGAATGTAGGAAATCATGACATTCGCAGGGAATGTGTACATTCCCTGATTTCCTACATTCCCTGTAACATATATACTCTAATTAATTATATGTTCTTCACATTTATTCTGCTTTTGTCTGACGAAGGTGTCTTTGATGCTGAAACGTAATAATAAAATAAAATAAGAAAGAGTATTCAGAAATAACCCAAATTTATACAAGAGGAAATGTATGCAAAGCGGTTAATGAAAAGCATTTTTTTTCGAATGAATGACTCGAGTCAAACAGTCAAGTCATCGTCTTCCAATTTTCGAGTCAGAGTCATTAAAAAAATGCGACTCGAGTCGCCTCGAGTCAGAGTCATGACTCGGACTCGCCCAGCACTGGGTTTCCAATCTGTCCGTAGGGCAGTTTCCATCTAGTTCTTGCTTTCTTTTTATACCGTTTTTCTAGTTCGATTCAGCGACTCGTTCTAGGTTATGGTGGATCTTAGAGATTCGGAAAAAGGATCAGTCAAATCACTTGCACACTTGCAGATGACACATCTGAAGTTAATTTTTCCATGTATACTTTAATTCACTTATAATTAGTCTTGGAAGATGAGCATACCTTTCTGAAGAACTTTGCCGTTTTCTGTATGAGATAATTAACTGTCACGTGATATCCTTCATAGTGAATATATGCTACAGTGCTTGATATTTTAAAAGCTACAGTAGGAACGATAAAGAATCAGCTGATATGTCCATGTGAAAATAATATGCCGTAGAAGATACGTAGACAGTTATGAATTTCTAGTTCTTCTAATTTCGTCGATTTACCGTTTCACTCAGTCGACTTGCCAATCTTCCCGAAGAGTAGTTGGTCTCTAGTCTTCTTTCGTTCTTTCCAAACTGGGTTTTCGTGTTCGAGTCAGACACCCGTTCTCGGTTACCTCTGATCATATAGATTTCGGCAAAAATGATTCGAAAGTAGAGAAGTGGAAGATGACACATCGGAAGTTATCTTTCGGATATTTGCTTTAGTTATTGTATAATTAGTCTCATAAAATGAATATATTTTTGGGATCTTTCCACACACTCTTGTCGTTCGAGTCTGCCACTCGTTCTCAGCTATCACTAATCGTACAGAATTGAGAAAAACATTGTTCGATAGTGCAAAAGCTCTAAATGATACATCTGAATGGAGGGAGATTTTCGATTTATATTTTAATTATTAAGGAATGAGTCTCCAAAGTTGAGCATATTTTTGATTACTTTTCCACGAGATAATTAATTGTCACATGATTGTGATGCACGATATATACACGGTATTGCTTTAGATGATTCATTAGATGATATGGAACGCCCAGGGTGCTGCCTTCCACTGTACCTTTCTGCAGTGATTTTGTAGAGCAAACATTTCCCTTTCATATGAGATGTGAACGAGCCGTAAGGATCGAGCTGTTTCTGCGATATTGAAGAGACATTTAATACAAAAATGAAGCTTTTGGTGATGACTAAAAAGCTTAGTCTACCTAATTCTTGAACAGTACCATACGAAGGCGAGATATCTTGGATTTCTTAGTTTTTCGATGAGCTCTTTCGAACTAGAATAATAAGAACAAAAATAGAATTTTAGCTCCATTCAGTGTGGTCGATATTCACACCGACTGTCTCTTAAA